CACGAACAATAATTACGAAGAATGGTCGAATGAGGTGCGACTGGCCCTTCGCGCGTGACGCAAATATTGTTTCGTCGACGGATTGGCTTACACTTCACTCCATGATCGTCTCCTGGCTTCTGAATGTAATGTCACCGGAAGTCAAGGGAACTCTGTCATATTATGAAAATCCCCGGCGATTGTGAAATGATTTGAAAGAGAGGTTTGCACTTGTTGATGGTCCAAAAATACACTAGGTTAAAACGTATCTGGCTAAATGCGTTCAGACGAAAAGAATGGCCGTCAGGACTTACTACGCAAAGTTACAAACTTTGTGGGATGAATTAAACAATTATGAACCATTAATTCGGTGTAACTGTAACAAGTGCATGTGTGATGTACTTGGACAACATGAGAAGAGGAGGGAATCAGAACATTTACATCAATTTTTGATGGGCATTTACCTTGATCTTTTTGGAGGCATACGGTCACAATTGTTGGCACAGACCGAATTGCCAACTCTAAACAGGGCTTACCAATAGATGGCGCAGGAAGAACGAGTACGAAGGATAGTGCAGGCTCAGGAAGACAGGCCCGAAGTACTGGGTTTTGCAGTTCGTGCTGAAGGAAAAGGCATTGGCAGAGGTGTTAAGCCGGACAAGTCTGGATTGCAGTGCTCCTACTGTAAATTTTCTGGCCATGAAGTTACTAACTGTTTTGAGCTTCATGGTTATCCGGAGTGGTAGGGCGATAGACCCCGACCCGGGATTAAAGGTGAAGGCCGTGGTCGCTCAAACAATCATGGAATAACGAACAACTCTGGAGCAACGACTCGCGGCAGACTGGCAGCAAAAGCACACGTTGTCGTGGCTGCTGAAGGTGTGACCAAATTGCAGCACCATGGAGAAGGCAATAGCAGTCCGGCTGCTCCTCTACCTAGGTTCACGACTGAGCAATGGAACTCTTTGATTTCTGTGTTTGGTAACTCGCTCATTACTAATGATCGTATGGCCGGTACATTTTATAATGATGCTTGGATTATTGATACCGGTGCTACAAATCATGTTTGTGGAAACCGGGTCTTATTATGTCATACTAAAACAGTTGACCCATGCACCGTTGGGCTTCCCGGTGGACAAACTATCTTAGCCACACTAGAAGGGAGTGTGCAATTTACCAATGATTTGTTTTTTACTAATGTGTTATTTGTTCCAAAGTTGCAGTGTAATCGTATATCTGTATCTCAACTGAGTGATGCTCTTAACTGTTTCATTCAATTCACTTGTAATATGTGTATTATACAGGACCGTCCCTCTAGGAAGCTGATTGGAACAAGTGAACGGAGGAATGGACTGTATTAGCTACGGGAGGAACAAGTGGCACGTGTATTGGCTGTCAAAGAATCTCAGAATGTTGTAGAACTTTGGCATCGAAGGTTGGGACACCCAGCTTCTCCACTGGTTGAACATTTGGCTCCCATAAGTGGTTTGAAGAATATTGGAAATTTTCCTTGTGATGTTTGTTTTAGAGCTAAGCAGACTAGGGATCCTTTTCCTATTAGTTTGAATAAAACTCAAGATATTTTTGAGATGGTACATTGTGATTTGTGGAGTCCATATAAAACTCCTTCTTCGTGTGGTGCTAGGCGTTTTTTGACTATTGTTGATGATTATTCTCATGCCGTTTGGGTTTATCTACTTATTGATAAAAAGGAAGTTTTCAAAAAGTTTCTTTCTTTCGTTGCTATGGTGGAACGTCAATTTTCCAAGAAAATATTGCGTATAAGAAATGACAATGGGACATAATTTAATTGTTTAAAAGATTTCTTCGGTGCTAGTGGCATCATTTTTCAAACTTCTTGTGTTGGCACACCCCAACAAAATGGGCGTGTTGAGCGTAAGCATAGACATATATTAAATGTGGCACGTGCATTGAGATTTCAAGGGAGTTTACCTATTTCTTTTTGGGGAGAATGTGTTTTAACGGCGTCTTATCTTATCAATCGTACCCCTTCTGCGATTCATGATTATAAGACTCCTTATGAAATTCTTTTTGGTGTTCCTCCATGCTATAAATTACTTCGGGTGTTTGGATGTCTATGCTACGCATTTAACATGAAATCCAAGAGTGATAAGTTTCTAAGTCGAAGCAGAAAAATGTGTATTTGTGGGATATATTTTTGGGAAGAAGGGTTGGCATGTGTTTGATCTGGAGACTCAGGAATATTTCGTATCTCGGGATGTAAAATTTTTTGAGCAAATATTTCTGTTTGCTTCTGCTTCTCCTACGGATTTTTCTCATACACCGGAGGATTCCCAGCCGCTCCTATCTACGAACTATGATGATCCGTTCTTCCTGGAATGTTCTGGTGCCCACAACACAATACAACCCATCTAATCAAGGGGAGAGTGCGTCCCATGCAGAAGATACTCCTACTAATACATTCCAGGATGCGGCACCCTCTGGTGCAATCACAGACCCAACACCGCATGCTTCTTCTCAGTAGGAGTCGACTGTTGACTTAGGTCGTGGTCAACGCACACACATGCCTTTGGTGCGTCTAAGAGATTATGTTACTCACACCATTATAAAAAACACTCCATTCCCCGCTCCTCCTGATTCATCATCCTCTTCAGATACGCCGTTCCCTATAGCTCATTATGTTACTTGTGATTCTTTTTCCTCGAAACATAAAGCTTATCTGGCAGCTCTTAATTCTGTTGTGGAGCCATGGTCCTTTAATGAGGTCGTTAAACATGATGGATGGCGTAACGCCATGCGTGCTGAAATTCAGGCACTTGAAAACAATTCCACTTGGAGTCTTGTTCCTTTACCTCCACATAAACGCGCCTTGGGTTGTCAATTGGTTTATAAAGTCAAGCATAAATCGGATGGTACCGTTGAACGTTTAAGGCTCGTCTTGTCATCTTTGGGAATAGGCAAATTGTTGGTCTGGATTATACAGAAACATTTGCTCCGGTTGCTAAAATGGTGACTGTGCGAGCTTTTCTTGCTATAACTGCTACCAAGCATTGGCAATTACATCAAATGGATATACATAATGCCTTTCTACACGGGGATTTGAATGAGGAGGTGTATATGACTATTCCTCCAGGTTATAAAACTACCGACTCCAGTCTGGTTTGTCGGCTTCATAAATATTTATATGGGCTGAAGCAGGCACCACGGCGCTGGTTTGCTAAATTGGTAACTGCTCTCAAAAGCTATGGTTTTCTTCAATCATATGCTGACTATTCCTTATTTACTCTTACTCAAGGGGCCGTCCAGCTTAATGTTCTTGTTTATGTGGATGATCTCCTTATCTCTGGCAATGATGGAATTGCTATTGCTAAGTTTAAATCATATCTTAATGACTGTTTTCATATGAAGGATTTGGGAACCCTCAAGTATTTTTTGGGCATAGAAGTTGCCCGGAGCTCGACTGGAATTTTTCTTAACCAAAGAAAATATGCACTTGATATTATTACCGAAACAGGGCTCTTGGGAGCAAATCCCTCGTCCTTTCCGATCGAGCAACATCATACCTTGGTGGCAGCCTCTGGTCCTCCCCTTCAGAACCCCGAACCCTATCGCCGATTGGTTGGACGACTTATCTATTTAGCTGTCACTCGTCCTGATATCACATATTGAGTGCATATCCTTTCTCAATTTATGCAAACACATCTTACTGATCATTGGAATGCTGCTCTGTGAGTTGTTCGGTACCTAAAAGGATCACCTGGACAAGGAATTCTTCTTCCCACAGACAATGATCTTACTCTATCTAGATGGTGTGATTCTGATTGGGCGGCTTGCCCTATTACTCGTCGATCACTTTCTGGTTGGCTAGTCTTTCTTGGTCATTCGCCCATCTCTTGGAAAACTAAGAAACAATCTATTGTTTCTCGCACTTCTGCTGAAGCTGAATACCGTTCTATGGCTGCAGCAACTTGTGAGTTAAAATGGCTCAAAGCTTTACTTTTGAGTCTTGGTGTTCACCTCAGTCTATTCCTCTATACTGTGATAGTCAATCTGCTCTTCATATTGCTCAAAATCATGTGTTTCATGAGCGCACCAAACACATTGAGGTTGATTGTCATTTTGTCTGTGATGCTGTTCAAGCCAAGATCATTGCTCCCAACTACGTTCCCAATACCATCCAACTGGCCGATATTTTTACTAAAGCTCTTGGCAAGACTCAGTTTCAGACTCTCCTACACAAGTTGGGCATTCTGAATCCTCATGTGCCAACTTGAGGGGGGTATTGGGAGATATGATTTATTAACTATTAGCGGATATTGTATTAAAATGTAGTATTTTAATATGGTTAGAATCATATCTATATTTGGTTGTTATTTTTTAGTCCTAATATGGATGCTTTTTACTAGGAATTTTATTGTATTTATACTGGCCGATTGGCAAATGAATGGCAATAGAAATAGATCGTAAATTTTATTCTTCTTTCTCAGCATATCTGTGTACGAAAGCTTAGTTATTAATGTCTAAGAGCATCTTCAATGCTAAAACGTTAACGGTGCATACGTGACATGAGATATAACCAATTAAAAAACTATAAATAGAATGTCTCTCTCCTTATTTGAAGGATCTTACATCATTTTGGTAAGTTTTTCTTCACAATGTCAAGCACAATGTCTAGATGTAGACATTATGGTTGACATTGCAGACAAAAGCTTACCAAAAACACATAAGACCGTGGAAAGAAGGAGAGAGAAATGTCATAAAATCAATATTTTATGTCTATATCTCTCATGCCACATGTGCACCGTGCACATTGTAGCATTGGAGATGCTCTAAGTTGAATGGTTGAAATGTGATCCGATTCGAATTATTTAAATCCGACATGATCTAACATTATATTATATGGATGGTCCAAATGAAAACATCCAAAAAAACATTGTACTTCGTATATCCATGCCATTTCCGAAAACACTTTTATTTTACTCATATTCAAAGTAATTTCTTTTGGGTAACAACTAGAATCGATCATATGTACAAATGCATTTAGGGAAAGTTCCCGAAATAGGACCAAAACAGTTTGAAAATTCCAAAGTAGGACTGTCATATTTTTTATTCCCAAAATAGGATTAATTACTGCTAAATTTGGAAATTACTGCCATTTTGAAATCTAGTACTTCCAAAACATGACAGTAATTAGTCCTATTTTAGGAATAAAAACATGACAGACCTATTTTGGAAATTTCAAACCTTTTTTGTCTTATTTCGCATAATGTTCTCATAAATCTCATAATTCAACCCAATATACATTGCGTAGATCTTTTAAAATCACTACTGCACGGATCAGGATCGAAGTACACATGAATGCCATTTGTGTTTTTTTTTTTTGAGGAATGAATGTCATTTGTATTTATATACATATGTTTGTTGTGTACATGAATAAAATGCGAAACATCTAAAAAGAAAATAAAAAAGAATGGTCGTCGATCATGCATGCATCTGGTTTGCCGTGTGGTCAAAAACACCCATGGTCGTCGCTAACGTCAGACTTAACGTAAAACGACGGGCAGTTTATTGTAACGGCAGTGACGGAAACGGAGGGTGACGGCCGGGCTAAGAGACAGCGAGGCCGAGAAAGTCGGAGGCCGATTTGCCTAAAATGTTGGCGAACTCATTGAAGCTGATCACGCCGTCGCCGTTCATGTCCGCCTCACGCATCATCTCCGTCAACTCACGGTACGTTAGTGGCTGCCCCATTTTCGCCATCTGGCCTGCCAGCTCGGCGGCGGTGATGTAGCCGCTGCCGTCCTTGTCGAAGGACTGGAAAACTTCCATGAGCTGTTCCTGCTTACAAATTTTCACTTAAAATGATTAAATTTAATTAAATACGGAGTTTAGAAACACTGTGTAATTACTTTTGGCATTTTTAGCAAAAATCAGAACAATGTAGGGAAAGTTCCCGAAATAGGACTAAAACAGTTTGAAAATTCCAAAATATGACTGTCATGTTTTTTATTCCCAAAATAGGAGTAATTACTGTCAAGTTTGAAAATACTGCCATGTTTGAAGTCTGGTACTGCCAAAACATGGCAGTAATTAGTCCTATTTTGGGAATAAAAACATGTCAGTCCTATTTTGGAATTTTCAAACCTTTTTAGTCCTATTTTGGGTAAATTCTCAACAATGTATTCCGCAAAATATTTAAATGGCTATTTTACCAATAGAGTTAAATATACATCGTATATTTAAAAATAGGATGCATAACTTATAAGAGCTCTATGGCTTATTACTTAGAACATTACTCAAATAAGGTGCTTTTTACTAAGAACACTAGTCAGTAGTCACATAATGTGCTTATTACTAAACATATATTCACATTTTTTAATAGACCTAGAAAAATAACGTATCTACAAATAATATTATGAGGAATTTGAATTTACACACCATTCTTTGGGCGATATTGGATTTTACCTTTCATTTTCAAAATGATTAACATTTGCACCTCATGAATGCATAATGACCCTTGTCCCACAATTAAAGTCTCAGTTTGACTTTGTGGTTCTTTAGGCAAACATATGACCGCAATTATCTATAAATATATAACTGTATAATCTATAATAAATTGATATTTGAATAATACATGTTACAATGAAGAACATGAAATTATTGTTGTGTGATACAATACTATTAATTTTAAATGATTAACGGTCAAAGTTTAACAAGTTTGACTCAAAAATCAAATTTGGACTTCAATTGAGTGACAAAGTCCAATATTGACCAAAAATGTGAGACATCAAGTACAATATCACTCAAAAACGGGGATCACACCGTGAACTTTTACCGGCCACAATTAAGATCTTTTGAATCACTCGTGGTTAAAATTTACTAATTAAAAATCTCAAAAAAATACTTTGTATCCTTTTAAGTAATTGTGTCAAATTAAAAAGATCAGAAATGTGAAATTCTGAATGCAGACATGGTAAAAAATTAATTGACGTTGTATAAAATTTTACAAATATTAAGAACATTGGAAGAAAACATAGCATTAAGGGAATCATATATCTTTTTGTAAAAGAATTTGAAACAGTCAAATTCAATCCGTTAATATGGTAAATTTGATATAGTAATACTCCGTACAAAATATGCATTGTTTTCTAACAAGAACTATTTCAGAATCAAAGCATATACAGAGTATATGATTAAAATGACATTCAGAGCTTTTGATTCCAAACAGCTTATATGAGTTAACTTTTTATCAAGCATATCTGCATATCCTTTCGCGATTTCGTACATTGAATTTTGTAATAATCAACATAAATATAATAATGTCCATTTTTATAGCTCAACTTCGTCAATTTTAGCGGATTCAATTTATTCAATCAATTAAAAATGGGCCTGATCAAGAAAGGGTGCATATATATGTATAAAAGTACCTGGTTGATCAGGACCTGTTTGTTGAGGTCGGGCAGAATGGCTCGGACGAGCTCGTCGAACTCGATGGAGCCGTTGCCGTCGGCGTCAATGTGGGCGGAGAGGGCGTGGATTTGGTCGCCGTTGGATGACTTGAGGCCGATGGAGCGGAGGAGGGCGGCGAGCTCCAGCTGCGTCAGGCTGCCGTCTCTGTCCAGGTCGAACCGCATGAATATGTCCTTCAGCTCCTTTATCTGATCATCATATTCTACGCCGCCGCTTCCCATCTTTTTCGATCTTTCTTTCCGCAACACAAAAGGATCGGAATGGAATTGAAGATGGAGATGAAAAATGAATGGCTATCTCTGGTCTCTTTCCCCTCCTTGACTCGGCTTCTCCGGTCAAACTTGGGGTTGGAGAAGAAGGTCGGTCAAACTTGTAGGATGGATGGATATGTGGGGTTGTGGTTCTGTCTTTTTAGTGAGAGGATGGGAACATTATGCGAAATGAGACTTACAAATCATCCATTTCTTTTGGAAAAGATATAATTAATTATCAAAGTGTTTTTTATTATAGAAATAAGAGATACTTCCTCCATTCTTTTTTAATTGCAACGGTCAGTATTTCACACTTGCTAACGCACATCTTTGACCGTAATTATATCTTAATCTTTATTAGTAAAAAATATTTAAAAATTAGATTTTGAAAATTTGTAATTCTTTTTTAGTTGCAACGGTCATCATTTCACACTTGCCAACACACATCTTTGACCGTAATTATCTCTTAATCCCTATTAGTAAAAAAATATTTAAAAATTAGATTTTGAAAATTTGTAATGAGATGAATTGAACAATATAATTTAAAAATAATAATTTTCATAAAATAATAATATAAAATGTAGTCAAAGTAGAACATGTGAATAGTGTAAAATTCAACATGTTGCGATTAAAAAGAGACGGAGGATAGTATTTACGATAGGAGGTGTGCACAAACCGATTCAAATCAGAAAAACAGACCGGATCGAAAAAATCGGGACCAGATTGACCTAATCGGAATGCTATCCGATCCGGTTTTCGGTTATGAAAATTATAATTTTGGTTTCTGGTTCCGTTTAAAACCCAAACTATCCCGGTTTGAATAGGATTAAACGGTTTTATTATATTTTGAAATATATGTAGTATTAATTAATACTTTAATATAGAATAGCTAAAAATTATAAAAATAGTAACAATAACAATCTAAATAAAAATGATTATAATATATATTATTTTGATGTTATATTCTTCCATTTTTTCTTATTGTCTTGATAATACACATAACTAACATTTATTATTTTACACTACTCAAATCACTCCAATATTTTCTTTTTTAAATTAATAAAAATAAGTAAGTACGTAAAAAAATTAAAAATATTCACAATATCAAATACTCCATATTTACAAAAATATTCGTTTTTTGTAAAAAGTAAATAATTTAGAAACCGGTTTTTTCGGTTCCGTTCTGGTTTTGAACCTGTTAAACCGGTTCAGTTCCAGTTAAAAGTCATAATATATCTGGTTCGATCTGGTTTTGAACCGATGCACACCCCTATTACTATGAGTCCAAAGATACTAAATGAAAATGAAAATGATGATGATGATGATGATGATGATTTTAGTATTTTATTTGCTTTCTCAATTATCAAAATATCCAATCATCCCTTCCGTTTACTTTTATTAATAGTGTATCCCTGTGTGGATATGAACTCTACTACGTTATAATATGGTATTAGCCCTTAATAGTGAATTTATTCTGAGGCACACAACGACTTTAGTGGTGTCAAATTTGGCGTCGTTGCGGTGGAAAGGCTACGCTTTTTAATTGTATGTTTGTGTAATTTTATTTATAATTTTCTTTTATGTTTTTTCATCTACCTTAAATAAATTAAAAAAGAGTGGGTACACACTTTTTGTAACACCCCACCCGGATCGACCCCGCCGACCCGAGCGGTGTGTCACGAGGTAGAAATCAAAACAGACTTATTTAAAAATTTCATCAGGTTAGACCATATTTAACATATTTACAAACATACTTTTATTATTGAATAATTGGAACACATTAGCCCAAAATAAGTAGAAATTTATTAAATAGGCATAACGTCAATGTCACAAAATTCATTTAACTGCAGCGGAAGGTTCTTATAAAATATCAAAACAAAGTTTATTTCAAATACACATTCCATACTTTAAAGGACCCCAAAACACCATATGCATATGAGTCTTATGCCTCCCTCCATCCCGATGCTTCAGGTTGATCTTGGACTGGACCTACGGGTAGGAAAAAAACAAACAAGTACCCGCTCAGCAATGTGCTGAGTGGTACGGTAATAACACATAACATATTGAAGCATGTGATCATTCAAACAAATAACCATACCTGAGTGAACTAGATAAACTTTCATATATTTCACAATATTCATATAAATAACAAAACAAGTTCAGATTTCTGATTATCTAATAATTCATTTTTCTTTTAAAATGTATCATTAATCAGATAAATTAATTTACTTAGCCTTAAACTCAAGAAACTGAACCTAGACAGAGGAATACTAACGGTAAGGAATACAGTCTCGAGTCTGTACCCACATTACCCAAAAAGGATGTGGAAACGTAATCGCCAGAGCGACACGTAGCAATCCCTGACAGAAGCTAGCAGAACAGAAAGGACGAGATCACCGAAGAGACCCGATCCTTAACAGAAGAGTAATAGTGTTCTAAAAAGATTTCAGAAGTGTACGTGGTACATTAAACAGGAGAACACTAATTCCTCTAAAACAGAATTTCAGGAGTGTACATAGTACACTAAACCGAACAGAAGTATTCTCGTCAGAGTACCGGATCAAGAGTAAGGCTTTTTAGACACATACTTATTTTTAATATAATACCCAAACACTTTTAACCTAAATACTCATTTTGGTGTGAGGTGTTAACTTTATAATTAAGCCTCAAATATGTAGTCATTTTATCAAGTAACTAATCAACTCGTTTTTATTACTATTAATAACATTTCTTTTTTTTGGGGAGGGGGGGAATGGAAACCAATAATCCAACTTTTTAGTGGTCTTCTTACAATAGTCTCACCTTTTCGTTATTCACGACTAATCCAACCTTTGCACCTCATCTTCATTCACTGGTCCCTGACCGGTTGATGATCTGCTATTCCAAGTTATTTTCTTATCTTTGCAAACCATTATATCATAAATCCCATCTTTCACAAAGATAATATTGTGCAAACATAAGACAATAACTTGGAATAGTCGGTCATTAACCGGTCAAGGACCAGAGAATGAAGATGGGGTGCAAAGGATGGATTTGTCTAAACGAAAAGGTGGGACTATTGTAAGAAAACTGCTAAAAGGTGGGATTATTAGTTTCCATTTTCCCTTTTTTTTGCAAGAGAAAAACTTAATTCATATTAATAAGATCATTATCGAGAATACAAGATAAGCAATCTGGAGGATTAGAAAACCAAATGTGCAATTCAGACAAACAACAAACAGCCTTAGCAAGAGCGTGGGCTGACTTATTCGCTTAACGCTTAACATGAAGAAAAGAAATACTGGAAAAATGTGTTGCAAGATTTCTTATATCATCTGCCACCACCCCTAAACAAGAGGCGCTTGAAACCTTCAAAATTTCTCAAATTGCACTAGAAGCATCAGACTCCACATCGATCTCCTTCCACTCGAAGCCCTGCAGCCAATTTAATGATTCCCTTATGCCAACCAATTCCGCCATCAAAGGTGAGAGCATCCCCATCCATGGCCGAGCTGCTCCTACAACAAAAAAACCCTGTCATCTCTCAAGCACCATCCTAGACCACAACCCGAATCTCGCACGGCGGCAATGGCGGCATCAACATTTAACTTCACCCGCCCCGAAATCGGTCTACTCCAGCAAGCCGCAGGTTGCTTCCGCCCCATTAGCTTCGACTTCCTGTCAGTTTGAGCTTGGATCCACCCTCCCACCATTGTCTCTGCTTTGCCCATAAAACTTGCTGCCGATTGAGAGTTCCCCTGCCAAACACGCTGGTTTCTTTCACACCAGATAGCCCAGCAGCCCCAAACTAATTTTTCCAACACCTCTTTTCTTTTTTATCAGAACTCCCCTTCAAGCTGCTCAAAAAAACAGTTGGCTCCACACTCCACCCATTTCCCATCTATAGCTCTCCACGCCGCTGTAGCAATTTCACAAGAGATTAAAAGATGGCTCATGGATTCGTCTGCATTTCCACACAGTCCACACTCCCCAGAACAAGTCACTCTTCTAGAACAAGCCACTCTTCTTGATTGAAGATTGCCCTTGGTTGGCAAGCAACCTACACAAAGCTGCCAGAAAAAGTTTTTTATTTTAGGAGGAAGCTGCCAATCCCACATGACAGTCGAGCCTAGCTAACCCTGCGGAGAAATATCACCTACCAACGCTCTATAACAGCTCCTCACAGAAAATAAGCTATTATTTTCGTAATAGCCTATTTTATTTATGAATGCTATGGCTTAGTAAATACATGTTTGATAACTAAACTTTAAAATACTGTATTTTATATATAGAGCTTACGTAAGTGTTGGATCGATTCACCCCTTGTCGACAAACTTCCCAGTGGGTCACCCATCCCTGGGCTTTCTTACCCCGGGCTCGCTTAACTCCAGAGTTCTGTGGTTAAATAGCAGCCATATCTTTCTTAAAACCAATTGGTGATAAGGAAGTGGACACCCTCTATTTAACCCATTACTCTGTAGTCCCCAAGTCAAGGTAGATTCTTGTGGGGCACCCCCCACAGTTCACTACGGCAGTGCAGAGCCCCACTACTGAGCGGTGGATGGACATGAGGGGCTGCACTACTTTGTGGTGCCAACAGGTTGGGCGGTTAAGCCCTGAATCAAAGGGTGGTGCTGATCTCCCATAAGACCAACAATCACCCCCCAGCACCAGCCGAGAGATTCACCTGTGACCTCGCTCTGATACCACTTGTTGGATCGATTCACCCCTTGTCGACAAACTTCCCAGTGGGTCACCCATCCCTGGGCTTTCTTACCCCGGGCTCGCTTAACTCCAGAGTTCTGTGGTTAAATAGCAGCCATATCTTTCTTAAAACCAATTGGTGATAAGGAAGTGGACACCCTCTATTTAACTCATTACTCTGTAGTCCCCAAGTCAAGGTAGATTCTTGTGGGGCACCCCCCACAGTTCACTACGGCAGTGCAGAGCCCCACTACTGAGCGGTGGATGGACATGAGGGGCTGCACCACTTTGTGGTGCCAACAGGTTGGGCGGTTAAGCCCTGAATCAAAGGGTGGTGCTGATCTCCCATAAGACCAACAGTAAGTCTAATTAAGCAAGTAATGCATGTTTGATATATATATACACATGCAGTAGTCTTATTACCTGCTTTTACAAATATACAAGTACTGCTTGTATGACTGTATTACTGAAATCCGCAT